CAAAGTTGCATTTTGATCAATTTTCCATTGAGTATCTAGACCTGTTGTCTACTTTTATCATTTTTGGATCTGCTATGTAAATAAAATATTTTGTAAACAATGACTTATTACATATTTGGTGGCTTTTCCCATTTGTGTAGTGAACACCAAGAAACTGGAATACCTATCAACTACCATGTTTGCACATTTTAACTTGCCCAATTCTGTAATATGAGTAACAACCATCTGCCATCATTTTTCCTCAATATATGTTTTTATTTAAATTAGAAACATGAGTGCTTCACATGTCAATCCCAGCTCCTCATCCCACCCCTCCTCCCTTATCTCTCCAGCAGTCCCCAGCCCAATCCCCACATTATTCCCCAGAGAGGGTGAGGCCCTCCTTGGGGGAGATCTCCAGAGTCTGTCATTTCATCCAGGGTAGGACCTAGGCCCTTCCCCATGTGTCCAGGCTGAGAGAGCATCCCTCCACGTGGAATGGGCTCCCAGAGTTCATTTGTATGCCATGGTGAACACTAATCTACTACCCAAGACCCCAGAGATTTCTGTGGCCTCCTTACTGACACTACATTCATGGAGTCTGGATCAGTCCCCTGCTGGCCTCTCAGCCATTAATCTGGGGTTCAAGAGCTCCCCCTTGTCAGGTTTCCTGTCTGTGTGGGTTTCACCAGCATGGTCTTGGCCCCTTTGCTCACCATTCCTCCATCTGTCACTGGGTTCCAGGAGTTCAGTTCAGTGTTTACCTGTGGGTATCTGTCTCTGCTTCCATCAGTCACTGGATGAAGGTTCTAGGTTGGCATCATTTTTTAATTAGTTTGTGGGCATACCTCATTGTTTGACAATTTTAACTAGCAGTCTCTCTAGTTGAACCAAATTGCTTTCTTAAACTCCTGTTATTCTGATAATGAAAGTTATGAGACTGCAGTGCTCTCTCTACCTGAGATAAAGCAACCAACTTTGTTAATCTATCTGTTTACTTGTTCCCTTTAGCCAGTGGGTCAGGAAGGTTTAATGAGCTCTCATGTCATCCACAAGATGTGGCAATGTTTTTAGAAGAATTGTATTTTGAACTTGCTCAATCAATATTTTAACCTGATCATTGCAATTTCCTATGCACTGAACTGTCTCTATTATTTGAAGAGCTTTAAAAACGTGCACAAATTAAGTGAATCACTTACTAGAAGTTGGAAAACCATTGTGACAACTCTTAATTCAACTGAGCTGAAGCTGGGGTTGTTTTCTCCGTGGACTTTTTATCATCTACACCATAAGCTGCTATTCCATTAGAGGAACCATTAGTAAAAACTAACAAAGCATTTTATAGGACTTTTTCTACAATTTTGGGAATGCAGAAGGAGGTGTTAGTGTGTAACAGTCTGTGAGCTGGAAACTGATTATCAATTATCTTTGAAAGTTGAGCAAAAGCATTTTCCTGTGAATCACTGTTTTGAAACAACCAATCAACTTGTTGCTTGATATAAGGAACATGTACTTGGTTCTCTGCCAAAATATCTCCTAGATTCTGTTAAATAGATTATCCCTGTCTCAAGAAACCAAAAGGGGGAACAATTATCAAGTAAGAGTTAAATTTACAATATCCAGCCCACTTGAATTTGGCAAATTCAGGAAATGGTACTCCATAATTGATACTATCATGGTGAATCCAAAGTTAAGTACCTAATTTGTTTCCAGTCCTAGAATGTATTAACAATGAAAATTTATCTTTTTAGATCACAAAACATTTTCTTAGATGAACAAGTTAAGCTTTTATGCTTCTGAGCTTTATAAACTTTATATCTATTCTGAAGGTTCTTTTCTGACTTTGGTGACATAGAAAACAATAACTATTTTATCTTCAACTCCATCAGAGGCCTGAGAAGGATATATTGCCTGAGTAAACAGGAAGTGCAGAATAAGAACTCCGAAACTCTAGGAAAGACAGACATCTGGCTGTCTAGATAGTCACCCAAAGTTGTTCTGCAATGTTGTGTTATCCACCTTCAGTCTAGAGGCTTAGAGTATATGACAGACATTTCTGTAAAACAGGGATTTTGAGTCTTGGAATATTTGGCAGCCATTTTCTTCAATTTGTACAGTATACTGTCAGCAAGTTTAGGCAATGGCAATTTCTTGCCCAAATAGCTGGTTTTGCTACAATAAAAACAACTCCTTATGTAGGTTATTCAATGCTTGCCCTCCTTTTATGAAGTAGACTGGTGATGCCAGTAGTAGATAGGCCTCATGGTCATGAAAAGCCTTAGGTTATTAAATATCTTCAATACCATATTTTGTAGGTCTCTGAAGGATTTGAATACCATGTATCTGCATAACATATATGTTTAACCTTAAAAACGTATCTAACATGACAACAAGCTTAATATAGTTGACTAACTACTAACCTACATTTCTTAATTAACTTAAAGAGGTTGTAATAATAACTTTCAAGAATTAGAACTTTATATTACATTTTAAATGAACTGAGCAGGTACAATTTTTTAAAAAAGAATAGAATATATATATAAATAACCTGAAATTTGACTCAATATACATCCATAACAATGTAAAATATTTCAGATTGATAGCTGTCTTTTTATCTTAAATTCCTATATCCCCATAAATGATGACAAAAATCCATAACCCATCAAATGACCAAAAGCAATTGGCTCCACTCCTTGAGAATATGAGTGCTGAAATTTTGCCTGTACCTTCCCCCTCACTATTGGCCATTCAGCTTTATATTAGACCAATCAGGTATCTTTGGCGGGTAATGTAAAAAAGCAGCACATCTTCCATTGTTAAGCAAATGTAACATATTTTACTTAATTAAATATTCTGCAATATAAACAAATGCAAAACATCTTTGCATGGTTAAACAAATATTCCACAACAATTTTTGAAAAGCACATATATTCAGGCCTTTTTCACATAAAATCTCAGACACTAGTAGTAGGAGACCTCAACACTCTTCTCTCACCACTAGACAGGACCTCCAGATAGAAACTTAACAAAGACATAAAAGAACTAACAGAACTTATGGCCCAAATGGGGTTAACAGACATCTATAGAATATTCCATCCAAACACAAAAGAACATACCTTCTTCTCAGCTCCACATGAAAACTTCTCTAAAATCAACCACATCAATGGAAACAGAGCAAACCTTCACAGTTATAACAAAATTGGAACAACCCTCTATATATTATCACACCCCAAAGCTTTAAAATTAGGATTCAACAACAACACAAATTGTAGAAAACCTAAAAACTCATGGAAATTGAACAATGCACAATTACTCCATCCTTGGGTTACAGAAGAAAAAAAACAAAGAAATTAAAGACTTCCTGTAATTCAATGAGAATGAACACATAACATACCCTAACTTGTTGGAAACTTTGAAGGCAGTGCTGAGAGGAAAATTCATAGCACATGAAGAAACTGGAGAATATTCACACTAGAGAATTAACAGTACAAAGAATCAACAAAACAAATAGTTTCTTCAACAAGACAGACAAACCTTCATCCAAAATAACCCAAAGACAGAGAGAGAGCGTGCTAATTAACAAAATCAGAAATGAAAAGGGGGACATAACAACATACATTGAGGAAATTCACAGAATCATCAGGTCATAGTTTGAAAACCTTAACTCTACAAAATTCAAAAATTTAAAGGAAATGGAAAATTTTCTGGACAGGTATCACTTGCCAAAATTAAATCAAGAACAGATAAACAAACCTATGACCCCTAATGAAATAGAAGCAGTCATCAAAAATCTCCCAACCAAAAAAAGCCCAGGCCCAAATGGCTTCAGTGCAGAATTCTACCAGAAATTCAAAGAAGAGCTAATTTTAATAATCCCCAAAGTTTTCCACAAAATAGAAGCAGGAATTTCATTGCCAAACTCTTTTTATGAGGCTACAAATTACCTTGGTACCCAAGCCACACAAAGACACAACTAAGATTAACAAGATTATCTCAAAAGACTAATTATCCCTATTATATAGAGATGATAAATGGGCTGAGAAGGAAATCAGAGAATCATCATCCTTCCCAATAGCCCCAAACAACATAAAATATCTGTGGATAACGCTAACCAAACAAGTGAAAAACCTGTATAGCAAGAACTTGAGTATTTAAAGAAAGAAACTAAAGACAATACCAGGAAATGGAAAGACCTCCCATGCTCTTGGATAGGTCATATCAACATAGTAGATATAGCAGTCTTGTCAAAAGTAATCTACAGATTCAATGCAATTCCCATCAAAATACTGGCATAATTCTTCACAGACCTTGAAAGCACAATTCTCAACTTTGTATGGAAAAACAAAAGACCCAGGATAGTCAAAAGAACCCTGTACCATAAAGGAACTTCCAGAGGCATCAACATCCCTGACTTCAAGCACTATTATAGAGATACAGTCTTGAAAACAGCTTGGTATTGGCACAAAAATAGACAGGTAGACCAATGGAATGGAATTGAGAACCCTGATATAAACTCACACACCTGTGAACACTTGATTTTTGACACAGTAAGACCATCAAGTTTATATCTGTCAAAGAAAGCATCATTTGGATCTTTTCTCTGCTTTCAGAACATGTAGTTTTTACCCCTTGTTGGCTTTAATGATTGCTGCCAATGCTATGATACAGAAAACAGAATTTACAACCATCCCTTTCCAGGTGGGTGGCTGTAATAGAAAACTAATGCCAGCAAAGGTTTATGAGTATGTTTGAAAGATGGCTGACACAGTTTCTTGTCCTGTGAGCCTGAAATGACTTTTAACTCATAAATGCATTGATACTAATTACAAGCTAAATAACACATTCAGTGTTGACTTTTTTTAATAATAGTTATTTTTTATTTAGGTTAGAAACAATCTAGTTTCACATGTCAATCGCAGTCCCTCTTCCTCTCCTTCTCCCCCACCCTCCTCACCAGGTCCCCCAGTCCCCCACCCAATCTCCACTCTGATTCCCAGGGTGGGTGAGGGCCTTCATGGTGGATCTCCATCTTGGCCTTTTGGCTAAGATCAAGTGTAGTATCTGTTCTTACCAGTTTAATGGTACTGTCTTACATGATCTGTTTCTCAGACTTCTAGTTTCTTATAGGAGAGTCTCAGATAATGTGTGCTTTAAACGCTCATTACCAGTATTCAGAAAAATACAAGATTTTTTTTGTTCAAGTGTTCATGAATATAAGTTAAAAATTATATTTGATTTAGATTCAAATACTTATACATTTACAATAGAACTATTTCATCAAAATATATTGTATAATATTTAATAAAATCAAATAAATAAAATAAAGTTTTCAACCCTATTTATAAAACAAAAAAGTTAAAATTGACAGCACATAAAACTCTAGTATGCATATAAACAAATGACTCAATGATGCACTCAAGAATCTGGAAATAAAAGAACATGCTAAGGCACAAGGAGTAGATGGCAAGGATTAATAAAAAGTAAAGCAGAAATGAATCAAATACAAAGAAAGCAGTACAAAGAATGAAGGAATCTAAGAGTTGTTTTTCTAAGAAGATAAAGATGATCCACAAACACAGTATAAGTGATTTCTCTCCACAGCAAATAGACCGTTGCCAGAATGTATCAGTGGGTATCAGGCAAAGATCAACAGCGTATAGGGATCTCAGTCCCAATGTATACCTCTACATCCCAACTCCAGCATCTATGGATCAGGGAATATCATAGAAGAGGCAGGAGGAAGAGTGTAAGCATCAGATGTCTGCTGGAAACAATCTCTCACAGAAATGGCTGCATAAACAAGATCTGAACCAAGACAATATCATTAGACTTGCTTAGGGAGAGGTGGGAGAGGAATCTCAGAGGGTCATGCTCCTGGGCAACGAACTGAAGAAAACTAATGACTGCTGAGAAGGGAGAATGAGTCTCTTAGGCATGAACCCCTGATTGCTTGTCCAATAAATTATCGTCAGCACCAAATCTAAGTAAATACAACAATAAAACTGAACTCAGTAGGTTGTAGTTATACTTGGGGGGCATTTAACAGTAATTTTAAGGGAAGAAGAGACTATCAGTTTGAGACTTGAAGGACATAGAAGAAGTTCCAGCATGGAGAGTGTGGAGGGGAAGAAAAGGAAGAGGGAATGTGACCTAATTATACTTTAGTTAAAATGTATAGAAAAGAAAACATCCATTTAAAAAACATCCTTACAAAGGAAGTCATAAAATGATTTAATATTGTGTCTGGTTTTATTCATACAAGTCTGTGATATGTATAACAAAGCAATCACGCTCACTTATTGTGATGCATTCACTGTTACTGTGAAGGAAAAATGTGTTTTTATAGAAGTATAATGTGTGTTGGTAGCTGAAGAAATGATTTAGAAGTTCATAGCATGTTTTGTTCTTCTAGAGGACCTGGGTTCAGTTTACAGATTCTATGTGGTATTTGACAATCATCCAGGACACCATCTCCCCACTGATAAAAGCACCAGACATGAACATGCTGTACATGTCTATTGCACCTGCAGACAAACACTCACACATAAAATGAAAAATAAATAAACTGATGAATGGCAATACAGTATAGTGTAGAAATTAAGGAAATATTAATATGTTAATATGTGTGCAGGTGCATGTTTAACCACAGCAAGCTCATAGCCAAACTGAGCAATTTAGTGAATTCATGTCTCAGATTACAAAAACGGCTGCCCAGATGTGGTTGTGGTAAGATCAGGAGTTTGAGGCTGCCTTGAGTTTCATGAGACCCTGTTTAAAACAAAAATCTGAACAACAAAGGGAAAAAGTAATAAAGGGAAGGAGTATAGGGGAAATGGTTTTAAAACTGGTAAAATGTTTGCCTAGCATAAATTATTCTCTAGGTTCAATACTCAACACCACCAAAAGGAAAAATGTGTAACACACACACACACACACACACACACACACACACACACACACACAATCTAACAACAATTGAAGTGATACCAGCATAGAAATGTGAAAAGCGGGGTTAGCTCAGAAAGAGAATGTGGACAATGGCAGAGACTAACCATGTCCTCTACCCTGTTTCTCTCACTGCTGACCTTGTAGAAGCCCTAGTTTCTCAGCACCTGTCTGGAATCCACAAGATTACTTACTCCATATTTCAACCCTCTGACTCACCTCCATCTTAGAAAGAGCTCTACAATTAAAACAATCACCAGGAAGGAATGCTTCCTCAATATACCCTGAGCTGTGCCATGGGAACAGTCAGGTTTAACTGTCCCTCTCATGTCTCAGGCTTGCAAGGTCTTGCTCTCCACCAGAAGCATGTGTCCTCTGCTGCAGGCTCCATGCACTGAGCCTGCTCTGAAGCTTCCTCCAAACACTGCTTATTTGGAGACCTTTCTTGTTACCAAAATCTCTGTCCTCACACCCAGGCCCATGGAGGGTTTAATAAACCCTGCATTTCATCAGATGTGCCTAATATACATTGTTCCCTGGGTGAGACGTGACAGATCAGCTCTAACTCTCACAGTAAGTGATGCTGTAGCATGATCCTGAACCCTCGGGAATCAGTGGGGACATCAGAGTACTGCATAAATGCCTGGCAGCCTAAGACAATTAGCATGTCTACCTCATGGGCCTATCCCTACAGGTCACCAGAGACTTCACTCTTGTTTGTGTGAAGATGGATTAAGGAAATACTGGAATGCCCAAATAAAAGAATAATGGAAATTTATTTCGGGTACTCACACTGAGGACAAATAGCTGTCATGACCTTCTGCCCTTAAGGTACAGGATGCTGTGATACAGGATGCTCAGACCACCACAAAAGAGATAGAGCGAGACACGTCTCTTCCTTATTAGGGATGGCATCTGCACACCGAATCCACACCCTAAGGCAGGTACCAAAAATGTACTGGCAGAACATGTTGCCCCTACACATCTTCCCTTTGTCTAAATAAGGGGTTTTCACCCTGATTCAAACATTATATGCAATGACAACATATCAAGTTCAGTCTAGGAGAAAGAAAGGTAAGGACAGATACAAATTTAGACCTGCAACCAGCAAGATCAACATTAAGCAAGAAATGCATATTAAATACACAGCCAAGCATGACTACTCCAATAGTTTTCCTATCCCAGAAAGTCTAAGTCTTGTACCTAATGTGCTCTAAGATAAGAGAGGATATTAGTTGTGAGTATCTAGTCTTTAACCTCATCACACACCTGAGAAGGAAAATAACATTACTTTGGTAACCAGGAAGTATAAGCAGGTGACTTCCTAAAGTTTTAAGAAATGACAAAAACAGCTGGATGCCTGGACAGTTACCCAAGATGACATAGTAATGTCTGGGCAATCAACTTTGGCTAAGGCCTAGGATATTTGACATGTCATTACAAGCAGGAAAACTCGAAAGAATGTCCTATCACATCTTGGAATGATTTCACGTTCTTTTTTGCTTCTTTCCTGCTTGCCCAGTTAGGACAGTAAGCCCATTGTCAGCAGTGGTAGCAAGGGCACTTGTTTTCCCATAGGCCAGTTTTGTCAAGAAGAAAACAAACTCCAAATGAAGGATCTCTGGTGCCCACAATATTAACCAGTTCCATGTTGTTAGGAGCAACTCTGTCTCATGTCAACAGCATTCTAAATTATTAAAACATATAAATGCCATATTATGTTGGTCTTGGAAGTCTTTGAAGATAAAATATCTATGCTCAGTACATCTCTGAACATCTCTGAACCTGACTAAAATAACTAGATATGACAGTTTACTATAACCTGTAAATAACATATTGCTTACTGACTAAAGCATTATATATATATGAACATTAGACAGATTTTTGTAGCATTGTAGCATGAGGACAATGACCTCAAAATTGTAATAACAGTTAGGGGTGATTCAGTCTAACTAATACAGCACCTGGGGTTTGAAGGACAAAAGTCAAGAGCAGAAGCTGGAGATATGACACATAGTCTAAGAGCATTTGCTGCTCTCTCACATGACGCCTAACAACCATTGATGACAAGGGACCCAATGCCCTCTTCTGGCCTCTGCAAGAACTGCAAGCATGAGTGGCAATTGCAATATCATGAGCTTCTCTCATTGGATTCATCTTGATTTAGTTTTTCTGGCCCATATCTAGAAGTGCATCCACTTCTTTTAGATCTTCTAGTTTGATGGGATATAGTTGTTGTTTTTAAACTGAATTTACTCAGTGCCTGTTGTGTTGTCTTACTTTTCATCTCTAACTTTATTTATTTGGATCATTTCTCTCTTGCTTCTAGTTAATTTAGATAAAGGTTTGTCAATATTGTTAGTATTTTCAAAGAACTATTTGTTGTTTTTTCTATTTCTATTTCACTCATTTCAACCCTTATTTTTATTACCTCTTCCCATCTCCTGTTTTAGCGATGTTTGTTCTTGTTTCCCTGGAGTTTTCAGGCGAATCATTGAATTATTAACTTGAGATCTCTCAAATTCTTTAATTCAGGAATTTAGTGCTATACAATTGGATTATAGAGTATATAAAGGCATTCATGATTTGGAAAGAAGTTGAAAGTTAAGTCTCAAATGGATTTGCTTCATAAAAATATTTTTGAAGTACTTTAAGGCAGTCAGGACTGTTTATTTTCTTTTTTAATTTGTGTGTGTGTGTGTGTGTGTGTGCACATACATACCAGAGTGTGGGTGCACACATTGCTGCACACATATGGAGGTCAAATGACAATTGGGTAAGTCAATTCTTTTACTTCCACTGTGAGTCCTAGGGATTGAACTAAAAAAATCATACTTGCAATGCAAACACTTTTATCCTGACTTGTCTGTCTCAAAAGTCCTAAAAGTGTGTGAGAGTTTTATTGAGCATCTACTATGAACCCTGCACTGTGACTGTATCCAGAGGGAGATACAAGGGAACCTAAACTGGACAAGGCACAGCCCTTAAGTTGCTCAATATTTATAACTAAGGGAATAAAAAGAAGACAAAAATGTATATTGGTGCAAATAAAAAACATTTTAAAATGACTGTAGAAACTATATAGATAGGTAGAGGAGAGAGAGACAGAGACAGACAGAGACAGAGAGACAGAGACAGACAGAGAGAGACAGAGAGAGGGAAAGAGAGACAGAGAGACAGAGAGAGACAGAGAGAGGGAAAGAAAGACAGAGAGACAGAGAGACAGAGAGACAGACAGAGAGAGAGAGAGAGAGAGAGAGAGAGAG